TTTTGCTTTCAAAAGTTCCGGGCTCATATTGAACATTCCCATTGTTGTCACCAGCATTGTTTTGGACTAGACTAGTCTAGGCTCTAGCCCAAGTTGCAAGACAGCAGAAGAGAGGTTGGATTATTACTCAAGTAACTAAGGGCTGTTTAATAACACCTGAAATGGCTGAACTGAAAATTTTATTGCTTTGTCTTTTAGTAAAAAAGTTTTATTTTTTTAAAGAGGTCCTCGGTTCTTTAATAGATGAAACTTGGGTAAGGTCTCCTACTGGTTGTAGCGGAGACTTGGGGTTGAATACCACCTGCACTTGGGTTGAATACCACCTTTGATTATTTTAGGGAAAATTCCCGATCAGTATCCTGTACTGTGGCTGGAGTGACATTTTGATCCCCAAACTTTAATAATCTTGTATTTGAACTTTCGGAATGCGACAATTTGATACCTACCATTAACGGGCTGTCAACCAATGCCATCACGTGACACCATATGCGAATTAAATAATTACAAAATGTCAAAATTACCCTTATTTATAAGTTTTGGACCATTTTACCCTTTCTCTTTAAACAAATAAAAGAAGGAAAAAAGGTTATCTTCAATCTTGGGTTGGAAGACCGACGAAGGAGGGGATTAACCATAGCCCTTCAATTTTCCACTAGCTTTATCAACGACGACGTTTTAGTTTTCGAGCTCACCATACTAGGAGAAAAATTCCCAGAGCTTCTCCGATCTCCACGACGTTGCAGTCTTCGAGTCTCTGTTATCAATTTCAACCACACTGACATTGCTGGGTATCTCCCACCCGAGCTTAGCCTCTTAACAGATCTGGCTCTTTTCCACCTCAACTCCAATTGTTTCTGCGGCATCGTCCCAAATACCTCCCAATAGCTAGATTTGTTCTTCAAGTCTCCATTCTCCAATATTGGCGCTAGTCGTCACCCTTATATCTCGCCAAGTATTTATTCTAATTTCATTTTTTTTGTTGCAAATTCTAATTTTGTTATTGTTTTGTATTTGAGCATTCATTTATTAATTCCTACTCTCTTTCCGTTTGAAGAATCTAGTCAATTATCAAAAAATGCTATAATGAAACTTCAATTAACAGGGTGAACTACTACTAGGAGGGTAACAAGTTTATCTCCATCCGGATGTCTCTGTTGATTTAAGAAGAGCTCTAATGACCTGGGCATCATGGGTTGATAGGCATATAAATCCACACAAGACCCAAGTTTTCTTTCAAAGTTCAGCACATTCCCATTTCAGGTTAGCTCACTGCTTTATGAAAACAAAACTGTTAGTTTTCTTGTCTTGTGTTTTAGTTTGTTTTAGTTGCTTAGTAAAATGAATTTACTGAACATGGAAAGGTCAATGAAATTCCAGGGGGCACTGTAAGGAAGCTACTCAACCCCTCAACAATATTTCAAGAATAGACCAACTACCCAAAAAAGAATATAATTGTAGAAGAGGTTATAAGGCAAATGAAGACTCTTGTAGCTCTCTTGAATGTAACTAGTTTGTCAAAATACAGGATATATGCTCATCCATCTGTATATGGAAGAAAGCTAGGGAAGGGTCCTTCCTCAAGTATTCAAGACTACAGCAATTGGTGCCTCCCGAGCATCCTAACTACATCGATCATGGAGGTGCAAAAGAAATCGATCACCAACCTAGCAACTCAAACCGTGCCAACACCAGAACTGGATGACATAAGTTGGGTGAGAGCGTGCCTAATGTGTGGTTTGTGAATTTCAATGACGAGAGATGTGAACCCTTCAGAACTTATATAAACTTTGGGTGACGGTGGGTCGACCTGAGGTAGAGTAATGAAACGAATGTCAGGGTGTGGAGGCAGCAAGCAATACAACATAAGGGTCAATACCGCAAGAAGATAGTGGCTCCATACACAGGACAGTGATTGAGAGGCAATCATCTCGATCGATTAATCGCTTGGCGAGCTCAACCGTTGAGATTGGACTTCTGGTTTGCCTTCTCTAGCACTAGAAACAGGTATTCATCTTCTTCGGCACCAGCAACAACCATTGAGATTGTCCAAAATGTGGCTTGTTGTTGGGTCTCATGTGGTTTCATCGAGCAGCCTGAAGCGTGAAGCTTCGCATTGCATCGCCACACCTTTTCTCTTCAGTCATCACCAGCAACAAGTGTTCGTCTAGTTTGCCTTCATGTGGTCTCATCTCTAGTTTTTGAATTAAAAAAAAAAAAAAATAGAGGAATCATTTATAACAATGATGAGTAATTATGTCATTTTACGTGCTAGTTAACAGTCCGTTAATGACAAGTACCAAATTGTCGCGTTTTGAAAGTTCAGGTACTAGATTGTCGCATTTTAAAATTCATGGACCAAATTGTCACTCGAGCCAAAGTACAAGGTATTGATCGAGAATTTTCCCATTATTTTATTATGGAATATCATCTAAAATTTACCATGACTTTTTCACATTTCTCTTAAACTCACCATGACTTTTCAAAACCTCCAAAGCCCATGTCATTGAGTTTTATTGTCCAAAATTCATCTTTTGTTAAGATTAAGACTTCTGTTAGAACACCATTAGTGACCATTAATAGAAGTTGTCCATGTAAGCATTAAAGTGTTTTACATGGCCAAACTACCCCTAAAATGGTCGTTCAACCTTATTAAATGTTTTTATGACAAAATTACCCCTAACTAGGCCCAAGCCCACACTAGGCCTACAAAATTTTAGAGTCAAACTTGGGCCTAAACTTCAAACCAGGCCCAGATCTGAAATATTTAATATGGTTGACTAGCCATTTTAGGGGTAATTTTATCATAAAAATATTTAATAAGGTTGGCCATCCATTTTTCGGGTAGTTTGGTCATGTAAATACTTAAATGCTGACATGAATAACAAGGGGATCTTTGGAGGTTTTGAAATGTCATAGTAAATTTAAGAGAAATATGAAAAAGTCATGATGAATTTTAGATTAGAAAAATTCCACTTTAGTATTTGAACTTCCGGGTAGTGTCAGGTTAGTACCTGAACATTCAAATGTGTCATTACAGTACCTAAATTTTCAAAAAGTGTCAAGTTGGTTCCTGTCGTTAACTGACCGTCAGTTATCTGTTGAAAATGTCAAAATTACCCTTCAAAAGAAGACATTGTTCATTGTCTTCTACCTTGAGACTAAACTGGTTAAGGTGTTTGAGATTCTAGACTAATGAAGTCATTGTCTTCTACCTTTAGATCTGAACACATTCTTGTCTAGTTATTTGTTTGCTTTAAGTTATTGTTTCCCTCTATCATATTTCATATTTTTTTTTCTTTCTTTGAAGATAACTGGTTCAGTCTCAAGGTATAAGACATTGAACAGTGTCCTCTTTTGAATGGTAGTTTTGATATACTCAACAGATAACTGATGATCGGTTAATGGCAGATACCAACTTGACACTTTTTGGAAGTTTAGGTACTGCAGTGATATGTTTGAAAGTTTGGGTACTAACTTAACAGTACCCCCAAAGTTTAGAGTAATAAAGTAAAATTTTCTTTTAAATAATGTTTTATGTTATTTAATAATTTTATTAAAAGGAAAGCAATAAGTTTTTCGGTTCAAGCTCGTTTGCATTGTTTTGAACTAGATTGAATCCAGGCCCTAAACCAAATTGTAAGATATCTGAAGGGAGGTTGGATTATTATTTGATAATAGGGGCCGTTAGATTATAGTTGAAGTGGCTGAACTGAAAAACTGAAAAATTTATTTCTTTGTCTTTGAGTGAATTACGTTTTCTAAAGAGGTCGTGGGCTTCTTAATAGCTGAAAAGTGAAAATCAAGTTGTGTATGATTATGATATTTATTATTTAATACTTTTATTTATTCATTAAAAAGACAAAGCAATAAGATTTTCTGTTGAGCAATTTCGGCTGTTATAAAACCGTCTCTGGGTAAGGGCCTGGTCCCAATCTCTGGTCACGTGTTTGATCAAGCGGGAGCGATCCCGCTGGAAAAACAGTGCCAACCCTATCTCGTTCGTGGAGGCGCTTAAAGAATGTATTAGCTTTTAAACTTTTGTGCCAAATGGCAAAATTGCCAACGACTGATGAACACTGTAGAGATCACACCATTTAACTCAGCGATCACGCTCCCGTTGAATCATAACCCTAAATTTGTTACTTCATCTGCGACAATAATTTTTCCACAGGATCTAAAGTCCCTGCAGCCGTATATCTGAAAATCTATTATATTCCCTCTATCACGTTCACGTCCAAAAATTGCTGAGTAGGCAGCACTCTCATCAGTCCAAATCCTAAGGAAGGATTCTTTTTTCTGTTCTGCTTTGTTTTGCCCTTAATTAATTGCTTGATATCTCACATTTATTTAACTTTTGTTCTGAAATGATAAATTGAATCCTAAGCCCTGATCAGGGACTCAGGGTTCCTTGTTCACTGGATTTTAGTTCTGAATTTCCAGGATTATAAGTTACAGAAGCAATTTTTTTGCATTATTATTTGTATGGATTAATTCTTTGACAAATACTGGTAGATAGATTTTACTGGTTTTTACTTTTTAGTAAGTAATTCTATCACTTCTCTCGTAAATGGGAGTCCTATCAAAACAGCCTCCACGTGTCAAATCTCTTCTCAATCTGTAACGCTTATAAAAACGCATTACTGTAGTCCAGAATCTCAATCATCCAAAGATGGCAAACCTTTCTCTTCTCTCTCTGCTTCTTCTCCCTCTCCTCCCTCTGAGTGCCTACTCTGAGCGCCAGGTTTTGTTCTTCATTTCTTTCGGTTGATATTCTATTCTATGTGATTCTCTGTATTTTTTTTGGCTAATGTTCTCACCAAAATTCTTTATCTTGCAGCAACCTTATGTAGTATATTTTGGAGAACACAGCGGAGAGAAAACACTGCAAGAAATTGAGGACACCCATCACTCGTTTCTCTCTTGTGTAAAGAAAACTGAGGAGGATTCTCGAGGCTCTCTTATCTATAGTTACAAGAACAGCATCAATGGCTTCGCTGCATTTCTAACCCCAGATGAAGCCACCAAATTATCTGGTATGGATCGAGAACTTCTAATTGGGTTCTTGCCGTTCTTGTTGTTCTCTAGCTATCTTTAGCTTATCTTCTGATCGTAATTGGTTTATTTCCAATAGAGATGGATGAAGTTGTGTCTGTATTTCCGAGCCAAGCAAAGAAATGGTCTCTTCAGACTACAAGGTCTTGGGAATTTCTGGGCGTAAAAGATAGGATTGATAAGAGCAAGAGAGAAGGTTTAATGCACAAAGCCAGATATGGGCAAGATGTCATCGTTGGGCTCTTGGATTCAGGTAAACAAGAAAGCAATAGAAAGGGTAGAAAGGAACCCTGAATAGCATTGTTTATGCGTTAATTAATGCATGTGTTGTGCTACTGATGATGGCCAGGAATATGGCCGGAATCAAAGAGTTTCAGTGATGAAGGAATGGGGCCAGTACCCAAATCATGGAAGGGAATCTGTCAAGTTGGAGATGCTTTCAACTCCTCTCACTGTAATAGGTAAGTTTTTCTGTTTGTTTTTCTTTTGATCTTTAAAGGGTCAAAGATACCCAGATCTAATTGTGGTGGTCTTTTTGAGGTAGGACCTTCTAATGTTGCTAGAAACCAAAAAGGGTGTTTCTCTATCCTCTTGTGAAATGACACCTGATCCAATAGTTAGAGGTTCTCCCATTTGAGTTGATTATTGGGCATGTCATGGTTGAATGTGTGCACCACATTCAGCTGAAGGAGTTGGGGTGATGTTGATTTCTACAAAGTTGACACGCAATATAGCTGCTTAGATTAATTGGGAAGGATTAACCATCCAATATTCTGAGCAATCTTTATTTTATGTAATAAGCTAGTCTATAAAAATGATTTGATCACCATTAAATGGGCAGTCTGCATCAACTTCTTTCAGCTCAATGAACCATTTAATTTTTACTCTTTGCAAGTTTGAAAGGGTATCTCATTTGAGGGAGTGAAATTCCATATTTTCTTCTCAGTCATTTCATCAAGTACCAGCTTGGAAGGGTTTGTAGGGACCTCACTCACATGTTCGTACAGCTCTATACGCAGAGCTTTTGTCTGGTTACTGATATTTGATGTAGATGTGTTATCGCATAAACTCAAGAATACCGACCCAATGACCGTCTCTGTGATGAGAAAGTATTCCCGGGGCCTAATTTCTGTGTCCCATTCCCATATTGTTGTGTTTCAGTGTGTACATCGTCAGCATGCTTCCCGTGAGAGAGTCGATGAACCCTTGTGAAGGCCCTTGTCGATTTCAATCAGACATGGAAATGGCTTGACTTGAGGAAAAATTAATTGTTTTCGGCTTCTCCTTGAGAAACAATCAAAATTGGACAGCACATACTCTTCAATCATACCAACGTGGGTCCCACTGGAACCGTTCAATTGTTTTAATTAACTAACTGTGACCCTTTTCTCTCCCAATACAAAAGCTTTCATGTGTCAGGCCAGTTGAAGAGGGAAGATTTGGAAATTGTGGGGTTCAAAACCAAGTGGATCCCAACGATTCTAACCATTCAAATAGGATTTTTATAAATCCAATTTCTTGATTGAACGTAGGTTAATTTCTAGGCCTAGCTGATCTGATTGCATGATCAGGTCTGAGTCTGGGATCACTCGTGACTAGCTTGAGTGTCTGTGACCACTCTGACCAATTCGTTGTGATCATTTCACAGTAATTGCTGATCGAGTACGTAAACCTAGGCATTGTAGTCCATCTCTGTCCATCACTACTGCAGTTGTATAAGGCAATCAGCAGTTTCTTTTGTTTTTTCTTTGGTCTGATGACACTTTGGCTCACAGGAAGCTCATCGGAGCTCGGTACTACCTCAAAGGCTATGAGGCCTACTACGGCGCTCCTCTCAACACCTCCATGGACTTCCGGTCTCCTCGTGACCATGATGGCCACGGCTCCCACACATCCTCCATTGCCGGTGGTCGACTTGTCCATGGAGTCTCGGCTCTGGGAGGTTTCGCCGGAGGCACCGTGTCTGGAGGAGCCCCACTCGCACGTCTTGCCATGTACAAGGTCTGCTGGCCTCTGCCAAACAAAGACCCTTCAGAAGGCAACATCTGCATCGATGTCGACATGCTCGCTGCCATGGATGACGCCATTGGGGATGGGGTAGACGTCCTCAGTATCTCCATTGGATCGTTTTCGCCTGTCAATTACACCAACGATGGCATTGCGATCGGTGCACTGCACGCTGTCAAACGGGACATCGTGGTGGCATGTAGCGCCGGGAACAACGGCCCCGGCCCCGGCACCTTATCCAACGTCGCGCCCTGGATCATCACTGTGGGCGCAAGCAGCATCGATCGCGCCTTCCCCTCACCTGTTGTATTGGGTAATGGCGTCGGAATCCAGGTACCCTTTGGCTTGCTTGATTGGTGCAACAAAATTAGCAGAACGGAGTTTAGTCTTATTTTTTCATCACAGTTGCTGGATTCGATTTCAGGGCCAATCAGTAGCTCCATACAAGCTGGAGGATAAAATGTACCCACTGGTCTACGCCGGAGATGCAGTAGTCCCTGGTGTACCTAAGAACATCGTCGGGTAATTTGTAATTAGTTCTTCGTCTCAGGTCTAGCTAGCTCAGGAATTACGTGCACCCAGGAAGATTTAATGATCTGTTGCCTTGAATTTGACTTTTACAGGCAATGTCTCCCTGATTCCCTGTCGTCTGAGAAGGTTAAAGGGAAGATTGTGTTGTGCCTGAGAGGAAACGGGACGAGAGTCGGGAAGGGCTTAGAGGTGAAAAGAGCTGGAGGTGCTGCAATCATTCTGGGCAACAGTGGATTGAATGGAAATGAACTAACCATGGACAGTTATCTTCTTCCAGGAACAGCAGTAGGATTTGACGATGCAAAAAGGATTCTTGATTACATAAATTCCACCAAGAAACCAATGGCCAAAATAGTTCCAGGGAAGAGTGTTTTGAATGCTAAACCTGCTCCATACATGGCTGGATTTTCTTCAACCGGTCCAAATGTTATTGAACCCAATATTATCAAGGTAATTTTTATTTGCACTGTTTCTATCAAACCCACAAATGACTAATAGCTAGCTTCTGAACAATTTAAACTGCTTCTATCCTCTGCTCAGCCGGACATTACCGCGCCGGGAGTAAACATCCTGGCGACATGGAGCGAGAAATCATCCCCTACAAAGCTGCTGGCAGATCACCGGAGCGTCAAATACAATTTTGATTCGGGAACTTCCATGTCATGCCCTCATGTGGCAGCCACAGCAGCCCTTCTCAAAGCCATCCACCCAAGTTGGAGCAGTGCTGCCATAAGATCAGCCATCATGACCACAGGTAAATATTAATTTAGGGTCTGCTTGGTTAGCAGTCAGAATTAGAATCGAAATCCTTCAAAATGGGAATGATTTATTTCTACGGTCTGTTTGGTTCAGATAAAAAGGGAATTATAATCGACAGGAATGGGATTTCATTCCCAAGGGGGAGGGAATGGCTATTCCCTCCAATGGGGAAATGCTATTCCACTAGAAATGGGAATTGGGTTTTGACTCGCCCAACCAAACAGTTGGAATCGAAATGGGATTGGAATGGCCGATTCCAAAACCCTATTCCCACGAACCAAAGAGGCCTTTAATTAAACAAGCTTGAAAAGGTTATTTGGACAGGATTAATTTGCTAATATTTAACCTTTTCTTCTCCGTTTTTGTTTCAGCAACAACAAGAAACAATATGGGTAAGCCATTAACTAATGCAGCTGGAACCAGCGCTAACCCTTTCAACTATGGATCAGGCCACCTTGACCCAACAAAGGCAGCAGATCCTGGTCTTGTCTACGATGCCTCGTACACCGACTATCTCCTCTTCCTATGTGGTAGCAGTGGACTAAAGGGCCTCGACCCTGCATTCAAGTGTCCAAAGGTCTCACCTTCAGCGAGCAACCTCAATTATCCATCCCTGGCAATCTCCAAGCTGAATGGCACCATGACAGTGAACAGGACTGTAACCAACGTTGGTGGTGGCAAGAGCGTGTACTTTGCGAGTATTATACCACCCTTGGGAGTTTCCGTGAAGATTTATCCCAGAGTTCTAAGCTTTAGCAGAGTTGGCGAGAAGAAGAGCTTCACAATCACTGTCAAGGCAAAAGATAGCCAAGTACACATAAGAGATGAATATGTTTTCGGTTGGTACATATGGAGTGATGGGATCCATCATGTCAGAAGCCCCATGGCAATATCTCTAGCATAATTTCCTTTCTTCCATTTTTTTTCATCTTTGAATTGTTTCCATATAAGTTATAGATTGATGGTTGACAGATTACAGAAGAAAGGAGGATTATTAAGGGGGGATTGATGGAATTGAAGAAGGATGAGATTAGATGATAAATAATGTAATTTGGGCTTGGCAAAGCTTAATGATTGTTCAGAAAAAGAGAAGAAAAAAATTATTTTAGACCAGAAAATGGTTTGAAATCCAACATATTGAAATTTGAAATCTCAACTAGACAGAACAATTCTGTTGTGGGGTAATAAATAAAATAAATTGTCAATTTCTCCGTTGGGACCTGATGATGCATGACCTGGTGCTCTCTACTGGAGGACAGTTCAGACGTCGGGCTAGTGAGGTCGTTTGGTCGAGCTGCAAGAAGACAAATCAGAGTGTCCAGGATGCTTTACCCGGTGTGTGCACTCCGATGCTTAAATTATATAGTGATGTAGAGGTTTTTAGAGAGAGAGATGAAAACAAGAATGTTAGAATACTTTTGAGAGTTAAATCGTGCATACCTTGTGAAACTAGAGACAAAGCCTTTATATAGGTGAGCGGCCATAGGCCTCATGATGCGTGTCCGAGATCCTTGGCCCACCTAGTCCGGAGTTGGTTTTACACCTAAGAACGGACTCCATATAAGCTGATAAGGCTTATCCAATTCCATCCGAATCAGGTGGGGAGAAGATAACTCCGTTGACGTGGTGTCGTGATGTTGATGAGATCAAAGACGGTTGACCTGCTTCTGGATAGAGATTATGTGACACCTCGGCAGGTCGGTGCTTATAATCGAGATGTGTCACCAAGGTTGCTGATGTGTCTCCTCATCGTTCTATCACTCTACGTGTCATCACATAATTTGACAGACCAAATTATCCCTCATTAGGACCCATTAATAAGATTTACGGGCATCCAATATAAAAGGAATTAGGAATGGATTTGACCCCACAGGTGTATCATTCTATGAGAACTCATATCCTATAGACCCGTTAGTCCACCTTTTACATGTACCCACCTTATTCTTCCATTTTGGCTCAGTTTGGAAAGAGTGCAAATACAAATATGTACACTATCTTGTATTTGCTCTATACATATTTGTATTCAAAGGCTCAATTTGGGAAGAGCATGAATACAAATATATATAATACAAATACATATAAAATAATACAAAATACAAGGATTTTCACTCTACATATTTGTATTTATACTCCTTTCAAACTGAGCCTTCATTTAAAAAAAAAAAAAAAGTAACAGGACTGGAAGTTAATGGAGGTCAGAAGAAGTATGGACTCCAAAATGAATTTTAATCTCGTCTACATTCTTGAGAGTTATCTCTAAACTTTACCTTGCATTTATACCGAGAATACACTACATTCATTGTCTTCCCTATTTGAACACAGACCAAGAGGCAAGTGAGCTTCTTCTTCTTCTCTCCTCTCTTACTCGTCTCTCTCTCTCTCTCTCTCTCTCTCTCTCTATATATATATATATATATATAATTGTGTTTTATTGGGAGTGGTCAATTTCTTATGCTCTAGATAAATTTGTATTGTTTTATGTATCTTAATGATAATTTTTTATTATTTTTTATGGGTTAGTTATTATTTTCATATTACTTTTAGGTGAAATTACAAAAAAAGAAACTCCTCTTATAACAATTCTCTACAAACCACCTTTCCCTAACAAGGCCTTTCCTATATATAGTTTTGAGAAAAATGTGTAAATACCTCATTTCCCTTGGCTTTTTAGTAACAAAGACATGGAAATTACCAAACAACCTTACTATTGTTAAGACATTATTGTACACAATTTAAAGTTTCAACTTTATTTTGCCAACCAACTTTCAAAGAGTAATTCCCACTACTCTTCTTGGACAAAGTAAGGTAAAAATACTAAAGTGAAGTAAAATGAAGCAAATCTTTTTTGCAAGGTATTTAGTAAATTTACATGTGAATGAAGTTGGTTAATGGTAAATGTGGTAATTAAAAAATTAATGTATTTACACCTTTTTTCAAAAAAAAATAGAGGGTTTTGTTAAGATCAAAATATAGGAGAATTTCATAGGACTATTAGAAAACCCAAGGAGATTTTTATAATTTTACCTTTTCTAAATGAAATTTAAATTAATTTTAAATTAAATAAACTATATTTAAAATCAATAATAAAAACTAATAACCATTTTTATTTTATTTAAATAACTTACTAGATTATTTAAGTAACTATTTTTACTAATTACCCTCTAATGCCAGCTTCAGACCCTCACGTAGTACAAGTGCTTCAGTGATCAACGGGCTTTTTTTTTGGAATGGAATTGCTCTTCCAAAGAGTAGTTCACCGGAACTGTTACAAAGGACAATCCCAACGCAGAGATAGCATTCCCAACACCACCAACATTAAGTTTCACCACTGGTTTTTTGGTTAACGGTCCGATCATCTGGTTCAAACGGATGGTCTGTTCTAATAAAAAATTAAAAATAAAAAACAGCTAAAAACTGTTGAACAAGTCAATAGGTCGGTGATTTGACTGCCTGAATCAACAAAATCATTGATTTTTTCAATATTTTTTTGTCAAAAACTGAGTTTGGAATAAAACGGAACCGATTGTCTGAATAATTCTCAAACCAAATGATCTGACTGTCCAAATCAACGGTGATTCAAAAACCATGTATGGGTTTAACGATCTATCAACATCAGGATCCAATAGTAACGTATTGTGGAGTGTTGTTCTCAATCGAGTCTGAATTGAAAGCTTGTATTATAACTTCTGATAAAACATGAGCCTGGTTAATGATAGAGGGAGGGTGAAATTTTAACCCCTTAAAAATAAAGTCATTGTCCACATTATGGTGACACTCCTCAAAATTAAAGATATAATTCACATCATTCTGCTCTTATGTAAAAGTAACTGTGAAGTATTGTTCTCAATTAAGTCTGATTTGAAAGCTTGTATTATAACTTTTAATAAAACATGAGCTCGGTTGATGATAGAGGTAGGGTGAAATTTTAACCCCTTAAAAAAATCAATCAAGTCAGTACACACTTTCCAAATGGACTACATTATATGATAGCACTCTTGGATGCCTCATGTGGTAACACGTGGCAATTAAGAAGAAAGAAAAAGTGTGTGATAGCTAAAAGTATTCAAAAAGAAAGCAAAAATAGTAAATGGTGGAAACAATGGGTAGCAACATGCAACCATAAAAGAAAAACCTGAAAATACATAAAAATAGAAGTTTTTTAAGAAAAGGTAATGTGCACAAGGATAAACTAAAAATGTAAAATGTTGTGTACATGAGCTTATTTTTAATTATTGATTTTCAATACTTCAACTGTTGTAATTTACTGTTAATTAAAACAAATTATTACATTATTATTGCTTTCCTGTAATTTCATATTAATAATTTCAATATTAATTTAGTGTAACCAATAATTAGTTGCTACCAAAATTACAAACTTATTGTAACCAACAATTACTGTAACCAAAATTATTGATTTTCAGTAATTTTCTGTAGTTTAATTCATTGTATTTTAACGATTGATTTTCAATAATTTAATTACTGTAATTTTCAGTAAGTTATTGTAACAAAAAAATAGTGTAACCAATTTGATTTTTAATAATTTTTAGTAATCTGATTCGTTGTATTTTAATTGTTAATTTTCAATAATTTAATACTGTAATTTACTGTTAAAACAAAATTAGTAAATTAATGTTACCAATTAGCCCCGACATAGATGTTGATTGCCTTGTAAACATCATATACAAGTGCAAGAGCTCAAATCAATATCTCTCATAGGCTCGTTTATAATACAAGTTTAAATTTCCTTTTGATTCCTTTTACCACCAAATTGGACATTGGATTTTTCCATACATTGCATTGATGCCTGCTACTAAGCCTAGCATCGACACAAACCTCATGAAAGAAAACTCGATTTAAGATCCATTTGATTTCCTAGAATAGATGCTTGGAATCTAAATTGGAATGGCACATTCTAATTCCAACTGTTTGTTTGGTTGGAATGGGATTTAAATTCCCATTCTTGGCAAGATGAGATTCTTCCATACGGGGGAATGACCATTCCAAGCTCTCCCCTTTAGGGTTAGGGAATGGGATTCCCATTTATTAAGAATAAAGAACTCGTGACTAAAAATCCAAAATCCTAATATTAATAAAATAATAAAATATTAATAAATTACACAAGATATTAGTAAATTAGTAATAAAATAATAGCATTACAATAAAACATTAGCATATTAATAATAAAAAACAAAGATGTTAATTATTAAACATAATAATAATCAAATAAAAATACATTAATAATTAAAATAATAATTAATATTAAAATATAATATTATTATTAAAGTAATTATAAAATAATATTATATTAATAAAATATTCAGAAATTAATGATAAATACTAAAATATTAATTATTAAATACTAATAAAATAAGAATTATATATTCATAAAATATTAATAAAATAATATATATACTAATGCAAAATTAAAAAATGGGTATATTACACAGACCCCCTGTATACTATTTTTTGCGACAAAGACCCTCCTGTACTTTGGCCATTAGACAAAGACCCCATAACCGTTAAGTCAGATAATGGAATGTGATGATGCACAATCCGGCCGATCTTATCTGTCAACGATCTTGCCTCTGAACCGGGTGGCAGGGACTTGAAACGGAGGGAGAAGAGAAGCTCCGGGGAGAACCCGGCATAAGGGCTCCGAAGCTCAAGTTAGAGTCTTTCAAAGGCAAGATAGACCAGATAGTGCAAAAGTTAGCATACCTCGTTCCTAGGGGGTAGGAGCCT